TGCATTAAAAACCATGAGAATGTTAATATGGAGAATATTGACCATAACCACAATGCTTACTGGAACCCCCCCCCCACCTCCACATGTCCCACATATGTACACTACAGGTCCTTCCACAGCAGCCACAGTCACAGCAGCTCTCCAGGTCACTTCTATCTTCTTTCAGTTCAGACTGGGTGAACTGGTCTATCTCCAGCTTAAGTTCACACTGTTTACTTTCCCAGCATTTACTCGGTCTTGTGTCTGTGATCACCTTCTTGATATTAGTCTTATAGTTATAGACGCAGCTTTATGTTTGACAGTACGATTCCACATTCATGACGTTTGGTTAGTTGGTGATCGAATGTTGATGGCCATCTGTCTGTACGAGTTAGCCTGGGTCGACCCGGGTTTGTACCCTTCCTTCTCTGTCACAGCTCAGAAAGGCTCCGTCCTCCTGAGCCCGGGAAAATCCTGACGTAGAAAAGCAGTGTGGTGTTAATGAAATACACCTGTGTTGTCTCTGCACGGCGTCTCGGGTGACACGCTTGAGTGAGACGTAGCACACTGAGGTCCTCACACTCGATGAAATAACTGGCTGCTGTACTTCATCAAGTACCTGAGCATGAACCACAGGAACTGTTTGTGTGTCTGTTAAGCTGCCAGGAGAAGTTGATCATGTGACTGCAGCAGCCAGTGACTGATGTTCAGTCTAAATGAAAGCACTGTAGCACTCACAGCTGTCAGCCTGAGTGGCAGCTTGATGGACAAACCCACACTCACACTGGTACGTTCTGACTGTACCCAGTCACCATTAGGCCAAGCAAGAGAGAGCAGCAGGCTGGAGAACCTGCAGCTGAGTTCGAGCTGTCTTAGAGAGGAGCAGGACTGCATCAGAGTGCACACTCATCGAAAGCGCTGCTCTGATGCTGCTGTTGAAGATGCAGCAGAAGATCACGTCATGGAGACACCAACGTGGAGCATCCATGAAGCTCAAAGCTGCAGGAAATGAGTGTAACTGTTACCACTGTTAGCCTTCATGTCATTCACGCTGACACAATCATAAACAGGACTGATCGCTGTGATGGAAGCATGTGTGTCCTGTGCTGTGACTAACTGATGCATGGATGCTTTAATCACATCAACGCGTTGTGCCTTTTGTTGTCGTCACAGTTGAGCATACTTGCTCCTGTGTGTGTACTTCAGTAGCTGTCAGCTTCAATCTTCATCAGTGTGTCTTTCAGCACTTCACCACTAATCCTTTCATTAGTCACAGAAACAGAGCAGGGTGCCACATTCCTCCGTTCAGCTTCCTCTCTGTGTTTCTGCAACAAGAAGCAGCTCAGAGGAGATTCCCAGATATAATCCAACCCCGTCCCACACCCGTCTGTGACTTCTGCTGCACACCTCACCGCTGTGCTCATACATGCACTGCACCAGCCTCCGGTAGTGCTGTGCCACTCCCAGCAGCACCTGCAGTACCTTCAGCATCTGCACTGTCAAACCTCTGCAGGCCTCGTTCTTGCCGTAACGCCATGGTCCTCCTCACTGATTGTGACTTCCATTCTTATCTTCAGCTCAGTTTTCTGAATAAAGTCTTTTACATAGAACAGACTTACAGAGCAGGAGGAACCCCATCAGAGCAAGCACTTTGTGACAGTAGGAAGGAAAAACTCCCTTTTTAGTCAAAGTCAAAGTCAAAGTCAGCTTTATTGTCAATTCTGCCACATGTACAGGACATACAGAGAATAGAAACTACGTTACTCTCAATCCCTAGATAAAATAGCAAATGAACATTTAAAGGAAGTAACCTCAAGCAGACCGGACAGGGCTGAGCGTAAGGAGAAGAGAGCAGCAAGAGCTGGTTCATTACTAATGACTAAACACAGCCGCGATGTGTAAACGCGCAGGTAGTGACAGGGATGAGTAACAAAGGTGTTACATGCTGCACTGAGGTGCACCGGGACGATCACAGAGTCCACTCACAAGCCAATAAGATCATTTGTACCTTTCATCATTTTATTATAATTATTCAATCAGAACTGAGCACGAAATCGAATAAAAAGTCTGAGAAACAAAACACTGAATAATGACCACAAACAAAACTATGATTTGAACAAAGCTAAGAGTAAGTAAATTAATCCAAACGGAGTTATTTATGGCTGCCACATCAACTCTCACAGTAAATACACCGACGTATTCATCGTGTTGTGAGCAGCTTTCTTTATTACTCATCATAAAATCACGGACTCACAGGGACGAGAGCCACCTCATGTTCAGTTGTCCACATGTATTGGCTTCGTTGTAGGTACAGTTGAAGGTTTTATAATCCTCGTCTCTTGTGAACGCTAGCTGTAAATTGTTGTGTTTTTTATATCAGAATTGGACTGGTTCTGATGGTCTGGTTTTGGGAGGTTGGGGGGGACGAGAGTAAAGACACAACGCTGCCGGTCATCTTCTGGTCTCAGCTCTGGATGCTCACAGAGAGCGAGCTGCTCCATCCACAGTGGGATGATGCCTCTCTGTGAACAAGGCCAGCACTGCAACATGCAGCTGATCATGTCACTCCTCAGGTTCAAAGGAAGACTAGTCCCCACACGTATGAGCAAAATGACATGTGGTGACCTCTACCTGACACAGCTGTGTGGTCACGCCTGACCTGAGTGTGTGTCTTTAGCCCACAGTGTGTAACGTGTTGTCTGTTAGAGGGAGTGTGTGCTCTGATAAAGCACACGACTGCAAAAGTAGTCACTATGTAAATGTTAGAAATGAATCGAGCTGCACAACGCAGCGCTGTGTGACAGGCACAGGAAGGGAAACCATGCATAGTTTCATGTTGCTCTTCTTGTTCTCTCCAGGATTATGTTAAACAGTCTCATCTCCAGCTAACTGTCCTTCCTCTGTCCTCCCCCATCTCTCTCTGCATCCATCAGCTCCTTTCTTTCTGCACACACTTTCTTCACTTGTTAGCACATTTCACACTCCTCAGCCAGCTGTGCTGCACATCCTTTCCAGCCTCTGACTAACCAGGTGACAGAAGTCTTAGTGTCCAGTCTGCTTTGCCACTCTTGACTGTACGTCCCAGCACTCCTGTCGACTCCTCCATGTCCCTCACTGTCCCGGAGCCTCAACTCCTCCCTGAACTCTGTGCAGCATCTTTCTTCAGCTTTCACCATTTAATCCTCGTTTTCACCATGGCTTGTTATTATGCAGTTATTCTACAGACTAGCATCCAGTGTTGCCCAGCTACATTCTCCCCTGATCTCTTTCAGATTTTACCTTCTGATATAGATGTGGTCCACCTGTGTGCATCGCCCTGTTCTTCCCTCTTCTTGAAGTAGATGTTTTCCACAGTCTTTTCTGTCATTTTCACAAAGTTCATCGTCGTCTGTCCTTCAGTATTTGTCTTCCTAACACCTACCCATCATCATCCCCATCATCACCTCTCTTCCCTTCATCTACATGCACAATACAGTCTGCTTCAGTCACCACACTGTCTCACCCTGCTTCATCAACAAAAGAAGACTTTTCCATTGCTTAGACAGATGAACATGAGATGAACGTGCAGCTGAATAAGAGATGGAGTCAGTAGAAGGAAGGAGCCAGAATCCCACGTTACTGATCAGGTGTGGTAGAGGCGTAGTGCAGTACGAGTGCAGTGGGAATGGTGCTGTAGTGTGTGTTGATGGTGTGACTTTTGAAGTTCTACCTTAAGCTCAGACTTAGTGCAATGCTGCAAATCAGATGAACAGCTGTTCAGCGTGCAGGCAGATAATGAGTGAAAACTACCCAGCAGCGTCTTAAGGCAAAGCATTGTGAAACGGGATTCAGCTCCTCCATCCTGCTGAGTGTGGTTTTCACTTTCACAAAGCTGAGACCAGCAGCGGCTGCATTAAAGGTGAAGCATCAATCCATCAAGGTCTAAACTTTATGCACACTTTCAGCTGCCTGTTGTTGTATGTTGGCACCAAATAAATAAGATTGAATTGAATGGAGTCATTCAGTTGTTAATTACTGTGAAGTATTTAGACGCGTCAGCCTTTACAGCTAAATGAAACACAAAGTTACACATTGTTGACTTGAATCAAATGTCGAGTTATTTCTGAATCGTGTCCCTGCTTCACTCTTTAATGTCCCTGCCCCCCCCCCTCAGAGTTTCTTTCCCTTTCACTTCCTGTGTAACTGATCTACATCGATATAGAAGCTCTTCTGCTGAGCGATGTGAATTAGCCTCAGTCAAGCAGCGGCTCTATTCATTAACTTAAGCCTGGGCAACTGTGGAACAAAGTGCCTCGCTGCTGAAGCGCCAGCACACAATACCTAACACGTCTTTATTTGCTATTAGGATGGCTTTGAAAGGCAAGCTGAAAAGTGTGACGCTGCCGCTTCCTTCCAGTTTACTCTGCTGCCGTTTGTCATTTATTGAAAGCTGTAATGGGGAATGGGGCTGGCATTCCTTTTAACAGTGTGAAACATTAAAAGTGAGGAATTTATTAAGGTGCTTTTCAGCGAATGAATCAGGGTCTCCGTATCCTGCACTGCCACCATGGTAAAAGCCTTCCTAATTGGTGCAAATAGATATGTACTGAGTGTGCAGAGTTAGAGCGAGTGCCAGTCAAACATGTACAGAAACTGCTGCTTCTGCTTGCTGATTTACAGCAGAACGCAGCTGAAACTTGGATATGGAGACCAGTATTGACACACACACATGGCCTAAGCTGCTAATTGGTAGGAATTCACTCAGGCTGCTAACACATTCTGAAAAAATGACATGCTCCCGCAGGGAAAAGGTCTGTAGAGGGATAAGGATTAAGGAACACAGAAAGCTTTGCTCTTTAGCAGCTGAAGGAGAGTAGAGTGTGGGCTGGTTGAAAGGCATAAGTAATGAGTGCCCCCCCCCCCACTGCATATCATTCTGCTGCCTGATACTCGACGAACTGGCATTATGGCTCATTTAAATGTTTTTCTTAATGAATGGAGTATATTTAAACAGACATTGTAGTTTTCTCCAGATTCATATTACAGTGCAGATTCTCCTCCAACAGGCTGGAAGCTATTTATATCTCAAAAAGTCAGTTCATGCATTGCTGATGCAAAGTTTTATCCTAATGGAAACACTGAAGGCTTTGTAAAGACGTTCTAGATGCTGAACAATCAGCAGCAGTGCACTAGGCTCTCGTGTTGACTCGCTGCCGTGCATACGAAAATTACAGCAAGTCACTGAGTTTAAAGTCTGTAGGCTCTCAGTCATCCGGGTCATGGTAGTCTAAGGAGCTTGGAAAGACAGCAGCTGGACTTCTTTCAAATGTCTTGAAGACATTTCAGCTCTCATTGCAGAATCTGTTTCATTTCGTAAAACAAATGCTGTCCCAGGTATTTCAACGTTAGTCGGTGTTGTCCCTGAGGAGGGTCATTGAGGGTCGCGACATATTGGCAAAGAAAAGATGCCAGTGGTCAAATTTTGCACAGAGAGCACAGATGGTTTGAAAGAGGACTCAAAGAGGCCATTTATGTCCACTTTGAACAGAGGGCGGGGCTTACAGCACAACTTGTCTGCTGCCAGTGCAATGCCACGCATTCACACTCCGATGGACGCATCGGAGAGCAATTTGGGGTTAGTATCTTGCCCAAGGATATTTGGCATGCAGACTAGGGGAAGCCAGGAATTGAACCGCCAACCTTCCGATCAGTAGATGACCTACAGCCACCCACCAGTTTTCGGAGAAACGACCCACAGAAGGACAGCACCCTCCGCTCCCGTTCGCTTCAGTGCCACTCAGTGTAAGGTAATGCCATCCAGAGTAAGAATCTGCTTAGAGACCATATTTCTAAGCTTTTCAGGGCCGAGTACAATAACCTCAGTTTGATCTGAATTAAGAAGCAGAAAGTTAGCAGCCATCCAGGTCTTTATGTCTTTAAGACATTCCTGCAGTTTAACTCATTGGTGTGTGTTATCTGGCTTCATGGACAGATAGAGCTGGGTGTCATCTGCACCGAGGTCTAGCAGGAGCTACAGTATCCAGAGTCGTACATAGTGAGGAGGTAAAATTATTAACAAGATGATCGACCTCTGTTGGAGCAGCGTTCAGGTAGCTGCTCTGCTCTGTGTTGGTACAGGGCATTGAAGATGATAACAGTGGGTGGATTATTGTGATTGTTTATGTTTAAGTTGATTGTTGCTGGTTTTTAGTTAGTTTTTTGTCTGTTTGGGAGCTGACACAGTCTCTGTGGAGATGGGGTTGTGGGGGAGTAACAGGAGGAGAAGCTGCAGAGAGGCGTGTAAGACTGCAACTCTG